CTCTGCGCGCGTGTGTGGATAGGAAGGACGAAGGTTCCCTCTTAGCAGCATGGGTTGTGGGGATAGATGGTTTATTGACCAGGGCTTTCTTCCAATGGGGTAGAGCATGTTTCTATCGAGCAACCAATTGCCGGTCCGCTCGGCGGAAAATGTGATGCAGCCCAGGACGGTCAGGGCGCTAAGACATCCCCATCCACAGGCACACTTACGCAGGAACCAGAGTATGCCTCTAACAACGGTTCAGGAATAGGCGAGAAACCCCGTTCTCCCCCTCCTCTCCAACCCTTCTGGCACGCGACGCCGCCTCCAAATATTTCCCTTTTACCCCAGAGGGAGCGATAAACGATTAGGCCCAGATAATCATAATCGTTGATAGCGTTAGAACCTTGGGGGCGGAGGTGAAGTGGAGTTTGGATATGGGAGGGGGTGGTGGTGGGGATAGCCACAGGAGGGAGGAGGGGAGGGGTTGATGATGATGGGGGCCGTTCCAGCTTTCTGCCATCCATCTTTCATCTATCTGCTCTACTTTACCTGCTTTACAGCCGGCCTTGGGGCCGAACCTATCGAACGGCATCATGATCCCGCAATCTGGCCTCTTCGGCTCTATCTAGCCTCGGATCACTGTCGTCAATGGATCCTGGACTCTTATGTAAAACCGCCTGGTAGGTGAGGACGGTGCATAGGTAATCTTGAATCCTCGGGTTCCGTAGTAATCCGCGAGTACGGTTGGTATGTATACATAAATAACACGGACGTGAAGAAACACAAAAATAACCCTCCACTTGATCATTTCGCATAAGGATGTTCCCTTCTACCAGATATCTCTTTAGTCAGACAACAAATGAAAAACGCGCGGTATTGCGAAAAACGGAAGAAAAACCCAATAATAATCATTTGTAGAAGCATATGAGAGGTCGAGGGAATTTTGGGGCAGCAGCCCACATCGTAATAAATCAACCCAAGCCTAAAATAGAAGCCCGCATTAGTATCATAACTTGCTGCCTGCTGCTTGCTGCGCTGCAGTGCGCCCGCAATTTACCAGAAAACAAGAATCAAAAACCCACACCCACCCAAACGAACCTACCATAACTCTTACTCTACCTACATGAATGCTTCTCACAAGTAAACTGACGGGCTCCACACACCCAACGAAGAAGCCTAGCCGACGTTCCTGACGATCTCTTTCCGTATGTTGACCCTGCAGCCCCCCCTCCACCCCCAATAGATTGACTTCGTTCGAAACCACGGGAGGAGAGTTCGGTATCTCTGCCGTTACTCTACACCTCTTTCCTCTCCCATGCGATCCCGAAAGTTCATGTCGCGGGTGAGAAATAAGGTGTCTCCGCTTTCGTTACCTATTTTACCGTCCGTCACTCTGCCGGAACGACAAGGATCGGAAGAGAATCGTGCGAAGAAGAAGCATGAAAAGGAAAGGAAGCTCAGAAGGAAGATTGGGCATAATCTAAACAGCTGCAATCGGGGGTTAGAACGGTCATGTCAAAATTAATTAACTGTTAATTGCACAACTGGCCTATCCATGGTGGTGGTGCTACTCTAAAGCTATCACTAGCTAGCTAAGTAGCTAGCCCCCACATGTTTCCGACAGGACAGAAAGCAGCTTTACCATCGCAGTGGTCATTGACGTTGTGATAGCCGTGGCCCTTATCATAAGAGAAATTTCGATAAACAAGAAAAAAACGCAATAGCTGAGGGACCGCGCTGGCCTGTCGTTGCACTTGTGCCTATTTTTCCCTCAGAAACAAGATGCGATCGGGGACGGCCCTCCGTATCTCGAGATGGACAGTCACACGAGACAAGAGGGAAGCAAAAAAGATTGTGAGTTATGTAACCAACCACAGCATCAGATCAGCTTCTTTGATGATATGCGGGCGCTTGCGACATTCACTCTTCACCGACCGACCAGTGGTTGCACCTGGTGTGTAGGTATGTAGAGTACAGTAAGGAAAGTGCCATCATCATCGCATCACATCGCACGAGGTTTTTTACCCTACGAAGTGAGGGAGATCAGAGACTTCACTATCGCTGGTTTGCGGGGGACACTGCAGCAGTAAGATTAAATCCCACAAACCCTTCGAAGCCACAGCCATAGAGATCTCTCAGTCTGAATTCGTGGGTCATGTTGCAACTTTATCTTTGGCCTATTTTCAGCACAATGATAGAAAGCCCTCCACCCCCCCGGGCCCTGCGCTGCAACTGGGGATAACCGCAATGTTGGAAATTTCTTTTTCCCAACAAACGGCCGCGGCGATGGATTGATGCAGCCCTAGGTAGGCGAGAACGAACAAGACGAGTCGCGCGAGACAGAAAACGAGAGGGTATTTTGGTATGGCCTGCTGCCCTGTTCCCTCCCCTCCGGGCCAATGATCACCTTATCGAGAAGAGAGAAAACCAATGATATGTTTCCCTCACAAAACAAGATGCAACACACAACAACAAACCGATAGGGAAACAAGATATCCTACGGTGGGCGCGTATGCTTACGGGGCTTACAGAGGTTACGGGGGCGCGTTCTGCTGTAGATCTTGTGGAATGGGAATGCCTAATCCATCTTGTTGTCGTCATCTCGTCTCCGAAGCTTAGGAAATGGGTTTCCATTTCTGTGGCCTATCCATTTGCTCCGCTTCCTTCCAGTGTCAATGTTTCGCCGTACATATATCGTAGGCACGCGGCGTCCAGTGGCAGCCTTCAGTATTGGATGGAGCTGCAAGACATCTTGAGGTACTCATGTACCTACTGTATTTTAACCATATTACATTCTTCAACTTCTCATACACATTACCTACTTACAAATATCTTTCTCCCTCGTTTTCCAGATGAAACGGCAAGGAGCATTTTTTTCCCCTTCCCTTCTCCGTCCGCTATCAATGATATGCAAATCGCAAAAAACGGGTAACACCCCCCCATTTGCTTTTGGAAACACCACACACGCGCGCATTGTGTTTCCTGCTGCCAGGCTCATGACATAGACGACATGAAAACACGGGAACCCGCCGACGAGGAGCGGGAAACCTCGCGCTTGACCTCATTCTCTTGTTGTCACCCCTACTACATAGACCACCGTTTCCGATCCACGGGACAGGAACGAGCGAACGAGAGCAGAGGAGGGCAAGACAGACGCCAACAGGGTGCAAGAGGCACACAGAGGAAGAAGAAACAGGGACAACAAGCATCCACAGCAGGGACGTTTTTGCGTCAGGTGACAGACGATTAAGCCCCGAGCCCAACGATGGCGGCGGCTGCTTGGTTGAAGCTTCAGGGTCTGAATGTCACTCTTACTACTAGCAGCTCTACGGTACTGACGGGTGATCTTGCCAAGGAAGGAAGGGTAAGGGTCTACTACTAACTATATTAAGCCCTAGAGTAGTGGGGGTGGTGATGCTATTAATCGAAAGCAGACCCTGTTCGCCAAGGCATAGTTATACATAATCAATCGCTGCCCCGAGCCCTAACAGATGGCAGCAGTCCCAAAGAATAATTCGCCGCTCGCCTCAAACAAAAGCCGCGCTCGTTCCCCCTGGAGCTTTGCTCCCTTCTTCTTCTCGTTTTTTTTCTTTGTGCGGCGATTTGCCTTACCCGTGTTGCCCGTCCGCTTTTTCATCAGTGGTGCAAGAGTTTCAAAACTCCGACGGCGCGTCCGGTAGATCACAGAGAAAATTTAATTGCAGATGAAGGTCTCCCTCCATCCTTTCCTTCGGCCCACAGCCATTCCCCTCGCTCTTTTATCGGAGCGGGGGGGTGGTGACGATAGGAAGTGGTGAGGGTATTCATACATACCAAAACGTTCCAGTCGGCTCTCTCTTTTTTTAGATAGTTTTTTATACAATCATGTATATATAGAGTATGGCAGTGTCCCTAGCCAATTGGCTAGAGATAAATAAATTTAAAATTGCAAAAAAATAATTCATGATTAGAAGTGAAATCAATTCAATCAACCGTGCGAAATCAGATCACCATCCATTCGATTCTCCCACCCGCTATGCTGGTTCAATTGCCATTGATCAATCAAGTAAGAAGCAGAAGGGTCCCCCCAGAGCATCAATCAATCTCAATCTCTAAACGTCAGACGTTTTGCCTTATCTTGCGACGGACCACAAGCCTGACGTGATGATGCCACTTGCCGGGTCCTGATGGGGGGATGGGGGGACCGTGCCTTCCAATTGTTTTCTCGAAAAAGAGAGCGGTGTACTAGGAACAATTTATCGCGAGAGAGAAAACACTGTGTACTCTACCTACAGTATGGCTACACAGCATCGGAAGATTTGAAGGTTTTATCCACGGGCCCTCCCAAAACAGCCAGCCCCCAAACTTCTTGATATTGAGGTCCTAATATGCCTCCTCTTCCGGCATGTAGTTATCACCAACTCCCATAACTCTCTTACCTACTCTACAGCTACCTACCGTACCTACATGTAGGTATGTAGGTACATACCTCCAGCTTCTCCACCTATCAATCCATGTTCCTGCCGCAACCGCAAAAAAGTAAACTGATCGACAAAGCAAATAAACCACTGGAATGCCAGGACATGGGAATATCAGATGCCGCGTGGGATGGATACTTTAAGATAGATGGCGGGAATGGTTTTCGATGACACTCTAGAAGCCGGCCGCGGCGACGGCAGCGTCATCATCTCTCACTTGCTTTTTTGTACTCCCACTTCGCGGCCCCACGAGATCTCGCCTCAAAAAAAAATATCTCCCATTCTGAAACGACCTCAGGGCCCTCAAACAGCTTCCTATATCGGGGCGGTGGTGTTTTGCTGCACGACGTTTGCCGAAGAACGAAACATACACGCATACATAAAACCGCCGTCTTGCCTTGACTGTCATTTTTTTTTTTTTTTGTTCCTGCGACTGCATACATCAATCACCCTACGGCGTGCTTGTGTCCTGCATCATGTGTGGTGCCTGTCTCTCTCCACCGAACAAAACCTGGTGAAAACGTAGAGTACGACCCGGACGGCTCTAGGGTATGCTGTAGTTTAATGTAGGTACCTACTCTGAGAGAGAGAAGAGGGAAAAAGCAGAGGGTCTCGTCTCCACATCCCACTAAATGCGCCCCCGCACACCAGACCCGCGGTTACACTCCCTTCTTTCCATCCTTCCTTCTTGCTGCTTTTCACCCGGGAAAAATGATATTCTCCGTTGACAAGCCCGCCCCCCAGTTTGATGGAGAAACGTCCTAGCCGGGTTGGTTAGTCTAGGTAACACTAGAGTACTGGTAGTAGGAGATGGTACCGGTACCTGCTCTAGAGTAACTCCTAGCTACATGGTACTCCACACACGTGCTCTGCATCATCTCTACTCTGGGTATGTAGAAGTAGACCTTTCGATGGCCTGCAGTTAGTGGTAAATTACCATCAGTAAGTTGCAGAATAGCATGGGCAATTGCCAGCGAATAGATAGATGCTGGTGATGATTACCACGGTGATGGTGATGACCTATCACTCTATCATATCACAAACAACCACTTACCTACCTACTCTAGACTCTCCAGCTCTAGAGTTAGTAAAGAAGCAGTTTCAATAGAAGCAATTCCAAGCAGTAGTTTATTTTTTCGTTGTACCTACATGTTCCCTCCTGCACATCAATCAAATGTTGCAACAACAGCAAAACAACACTCTCCCTGGTCCCTGGAAACAACAAAAGAAAGAGAGTGGGAAAATCCAGAACAAGACAAGACACCCACTGCATCACCTTCATCATCATCCCATCCATCGCCGTTTTGCTGTTTGGAGGGAAAAAACGCAAAGCACAGACCGTCACCTACTAAAGGCAGTAGGTGGACTCGATAAACAAGTTCCCATCCAATCCATCCCATGCCCCATCCACCCCACCCGTAAACGAGATAGAGAGAGCCATGGACACGCCGGCCGATCTCCGTCCGACAGAAGCTCAATCGAAAGGTGGGGTGGTGCTGCTTGCGATTTAACGCCTACCCTACGGGGGATATTTCCACATTCTGCATAAATTCGATGGAATCCAATCTGCGCCGCGCGCCGCCACGGATATGTGAAGTGGATGGGGCCCACATGACATGGAGGGATAACGTAAGGGCAAGTTACACTTCTACTACATACATACCTCGCTCTCTCTATCTTTCTCTCTCAAAGACGAGGCTTGCAAGGTATGTCGAGTAAGCTAGGTAGCAATAATCCACTTAGCGTATGTAGAGTACCCTACCTCGGCTGTGGAGTGTGGATGATGTGGTGTCGTGTGGCATGGTATGGTGGCATGGAATGGCATCGGTATCTTACAGTTCGGTTGCTGTGAACTTGAACTGTGCAGGCTCGGATATCTGAACTACTCTGCTGCTGCTCGGGAGTGTACAACTGTCAACGGCACTAGACACACGGACACAGACCGACACCTTCCCCCGTCGTTGCTGTTGGTGTTGGTAGAAGTACATGCCTACATATAGGGTACTCTACTCTAGAGTACCTAACGGTACTTGGTAATTACTGTATGTAGGGTTTCAGATGACTTGACCCTGAACTAGGTGAGTTGTACCCGGGAAGTAACGAAGAATACAGTAAATATACCCGTAACGGGAAAACAACTGATCAACACCAGCCGCCTGTGGTGTACCCGGATGGACAACCACAAAGCGGGTTTATTCTTCTTCTCGAGTGAGAATGTATGCAAGTCATGGAATTCAATTTTTTCCTTTTTTTTAGCGAAAGATTAATCTAAAAAATTAAACGTCGATATTCATGTTTTCTCTATCAGGTATCCATTTGGCCAAATTCTAATAGCACGAAAAAGAAGAACTAGAGAGACAATTTCTTTTGTGTATGAAATCGCCGAAACAATGTAAGCACCTTGAACTCCCCGCCATTTTCGCGTGAATTCATCATTTCCGTAAAATCGTGGGATATGTAGTCCTGGACAGTAGTAGTAAACAGTAGCGCAGTCTAATTACTACTAGTATTGAGGGATATTTTCCCCGCTTTCCTACTCGCCCTGCAAATCTCCGACCTTCTCGAGCTTGCCCATATCCTTCTTCTCACCGCTTTCGCCAATGATTCTGATTCTATCGACTCTAACCGTTTCCGCACCTTCCCTTTCAACATCGACAAAAAAGATTGTGAGTGAGCTCACATTCTGAAACTTGACGAATCTCATGGTAACGTTTGCAGTTCCAGTCTTTTCATCCCAGTCTTCGGGCTTGAGTTCAACGACTTGGGTTGGGATCCTTTCATCGTCAAAAGACAAGATGTTGGGTGTGTTGGAGTAGATATTTATCCTCCTGGGGCGAGATGGGATCTCATCATCATCCTCATCATCTTCAAGTTTGGGTGGGCATGAGGTAAACTGAATGGTATGGATCTTGACAGTTGATTTGAACGGGATAAACAGCATAAGCTGTTCATCGGTATCAGATTCAACCCAATCCGCTTCCACGGTACCGTCCTTCCCTTTGCCCTTGTTGCCTGTAAATCGCCCGCTAGGCTCTTTGGCCTCAAATAGAGTCCTCGCACCTCCGAACTCGATGTTTGAGTTCATGAGGTCTAGTCCTTTGCCATCGACCTGGTCTGTGACATCGCTGTAGCCCTTCGGGAGCGCACAGCCAGACCATGAAGAGGAGCCACCAGAGGAGGAGGCTGGTGGAGCAGCGAAACCCTTAGTTGCGGATGCAGAGCCGGTAGAGTTGATAGCTTCGGCTTCCTGTGCGAGCTTCCTGACAACACTGGTTAGGGCTGGGATGTTGGCGCCTTGTACACGTTCTACTTCTTCGCCTGATTTGAAGATGAGGAAGGTTGGCATTCTGTCAGAGGTGTTAGCACATCGTACGTAGGTGATTAATGGAAATCAAGCACGAGGACAACGTTCGGGTAGATCAACAAAAGAGGGAGGTACTAACGCAGTAATACCATATGTCCTCGAGAGTTCCTGGTTCTCATCCACATCGCATTTTGCAAAGGCAATTTTTCCGGGTGACGAGAGCTTCTCAGACAGCTTCTCGTAGATTGGAGAAATTGCTTTGCATGGTCCACACCAGACAGCAGTGACTATATGAGACAAAGGGATTTATTATTAGCCACTATGCATGCCGAACAGCAGCTTGAGAGACAATGCTTTGGGTGATGAAAATTGGAAACGCTTTCAATAAAACAGGTGAAGGGATTGAGTAAACGGGCAGTTAACTAACAGTCAATAATGACAACTGTGTTGTCCTTGATTAATTGTGTGAGCTGCGGCCCAGAAGTTATTTTGATCGTTGTCCCCGTCGTAGGTGACCCACTCCCACCGGAAGCCATTGTGAAGATCTTTAGGAGTGGTGAGGGGGTATCGGAGATAGATGATAGGTGAGGTTAGCAGACGCGTCGCGATGGAGTTGGAGTGCTGTGGGGTTGAGGTGACGTTGCGGGGTCGTGACGCTGAGTAAAGCGACACGCTGAGTAAAGCGACACACGTGATCCTCAGATAAGCCTTTCACATAAGATATCACTCGGTATCTGCCCTTAATGCGGTTATGTACCTTTTATGTACCTATTATGTGCACCACAACATGTATGATGGCAGATTACAAACGAAAGATAGAGTACAACAATACATTATTGAATTACCTACCTACTTTGGTAATCACTGAGCTATCTTCTTGAGCTCTGTCTTTGTCTTGCTCATGTTCCTGTAGAAACCTTTCTCCTATTTATATGGGTCTCGTCGAAATATTAATAATAAAAAGAAAAACTGAAAATAAAATAAAATAAATACTGTGCATTTTTATTGGACTTTTGCCTGTCAAGGTCATAAAATGCCCTTCCAAAGGTGCATCTAGATTTGTCCGTACAATTATCAATCCAGCCGACCATCTGTCTTGCCATACATGATGTACTATACTATGGCCGGTACACTAGAGAATGATGATGTATATGTGGTTTCCCTAGCCGCTGGCCATATTTGGTCATCTGTTTTGAACGCCCCCTGGCCTCCCAATACCAACTTAAAAAGGCAACTTCAACGTCTTGTGTGACCAGCCGTTGGGAAGAATTATTTCAAAGCTTTTCTTTCTCCCCTGATTCTCAAAAACTCTCCTCCGCTACTGCTGGACTTATCGCTAAATACAATGACTATATGTTCTACCCCTCGTCACCCCGCTCTTCCATGTTTAGCTCCGTAACTAGGAGCCCCTATTTTGACCCCTATAATTGACCCTACATACGTGGCCACATCCACCACGAACACATTTAATCGCATAAGATCCCATGAATCCTGATTGCTCTAGCCAAACTTTAGTCAATCTCCGTACCATTTATATTTCGGCAACCAACGTTTCCTGATAGCACACGGCGCCGGATATTATTGATCGACGGATCAATGCTCATTAATTTCCATCACATCAAGAGGCCCCAATTCAAGTCGTCAATTTAAAGTCACTTGGCTAGCTAGGAACTGCAGTAATCCTAAATATCGACTCAGCACATTGCATCTTGAAGGGGGTTTTATCTATCGATAGACTATATCTATATGGCATGCGATCTTTAGTGGGCTATATATAGCTACCAATATCCGGCATTGTGGGTTTGGGATATCACACGGTCATCAGTTCTTTGAAGGCTCCCACCCTCAGATCTAAGGAAATCTTGAGATGGTTTGGTTTGGTTGAAACAGTCATGCAAATAAAAGGGGTCACTCGACAATAGAGCTGCGATGCCACGGGCGAACAATAACAGGCTTGGATTACATCTGATAAGAAACGGAACTCCCGATTCCAGAACTTTACACTCATTCCCTTGGCTTTACATCCGGTTACGGACGCAGTCGGTAGCTCCACCAGAATACACACACGCTTACTATAACCTTTGGCACTATGAAGAAGTGTTACAACTCGACGAATATTTTAGGAAACGCATACTTGGAACTATATTCGAAGGGGCGGAGCAGAGCAAAGATCATGAACTCTTAGGTTACAATGGGATCGTGGATAATTTCCTCATCTGGAATTAAAATTAGATTCCAAAGAACCTTGATATCACGATATGGTTGTCTTAGGCCTAGGCTGGTGTTGGGGAATTTCATGGTGCCATAGGATGGCGTGACACTGCTACAATCAACTGACGGGAAGATGAACAAAGTGAGGGAATTCATGGGCTCAAATAGTGGGCGACACATACCGGAGCCTTCCACGGATGTATAATGCGGATATATCGATTGTTATGTTGTCCTGACACTTTTTACGCACAGCGATGGAGAACGGGGCTAAACAGGAGGACAGTTCATATCTTGTCTTACTACATAGGATATTTACCTGGGTCCTAATGTGTTGAGAAGAGTTGAAAGATGGATTGGAATGCTGGTCGGTTTTCAGCTTTACACACGGCGCAACGTTAGACGTACAGGGTACACAGAGGTGTGCATGCGATGGAAATGTTGAGTTTTCTTATAATTGGGAACTATCTATGCAAAGTGGCCTTCGATATCTCTGCGTTATTAAAGCTTTCGATCCGTTAAGGGATCCATATCAGGTTGAAGATCAGCAACAGATATATGAACAGCGAGAAAAACAGAACGGGTGGGGGATATCTTAGGACCCATCGCTAAAAAATAGAAAATATCAACAGAACAGTAATGGTAATAAGGATCAAAAACACATATGTGGGCTTGTGGGCAGCGACTGAGGCATAATATCTAGGAATACTTTAAGATGGAGATATATTTAATCATAAAATATCACTCGTCACAAATTCAATCTGAAATATTCGGCGGGACCTGTACATGGCAAGAGTGATCCATAAAGGGCATATGTCTAGGCTTAACTGCGTCCACAAGAAATTGTATACATGAACAATTACACCTAATCATTGACATTACCATTATCTGAAAGAGGACGGATGATGGGCGTTTTCTTAAGAGTTGCAATTATCACTTCACAAGTTACCACTCGAAGAATACATAATATTCATGTTTAATGGGTGATATGTGGCCAGGGGATTGGTGAAAATTGATAAAGACTCCAAAACGGTAGTGGCACTTTTGTTGGTTGTTGCGTATCGTCTAACAGAATTTTTTTTTCAGTACCCCAAACCGATAGTTTTTGTTTTAACTTTACCGGTTAGGCGAAAGAGTTAGAAGTATAGGTGCACATAAACACGGAAAGAGAAGTCACAGGAATTTATGAGTTGAACATAAACCCCCTCGGCTCTTCTTCAGGAAGAGGGCATCGGAGGATATTAGGGTGTTTCAATCCTTTTTCTAACCGTTTGAAGAAATTTTATCACCTTATATTGTTGTAGACTGCGTAAAAACTCATCCTCTAGGAAAGATGACAATCACCTGGCACAGGCTATTCAGACATCCCCTACATGCTTCAAGGAAAGTAAAGGAAAATACAAGGAAAAGGCAAGGGGAAAAAGGAAAGGAAAGGAAAATTAGATAAAAAGGAGCCGAGCAAGGGTATTGAAGCGTTGAGAAAAGGTTAAGGCGATTATTGGAAAAACATCCAAGATCTTGTGGGGGATATCGAGACCATGATACGGACTCATTCATATAACGCCGTGCATACCTTCAATCAATCAATCATACTCAAAATCATATTACCACACCGCCTTCCAAAAAGAATCTCAAGACGCCCGTTAGTCACCCTTCAGCCCCTCCAAATATGCCATTGTGCAAATCCTGCTTGCAACGCCTGCGTTTCCTTATTTGGTATAGGCATCGACCATAGACCTCCATCCCACGCTCTTTCAACCTCACGATCGGTTTCACGCTCCACCAATTTCAAACCAGCGATAGCCCAGTCCGCAGTTCGTTGTGTCTCTCTGACAAAATTATGCACCCTAATTCTTTCTCTATCGACAGCTCTTTTCGCATCCGACAACTTTCCTGGGCTTTGAACCCATCTATTATATCGGTTTAGTTGGCTGAGCTCCTTGCAGCCCCATGTTGGGCAACTCATTGAGCGTTCCCGTGGATAAGCGCTGCGACGGGAGCTTTTGGCCCGAAGTCGTCCCTCACGGATCTGATTTTTCGATTGTGGTGGGGGAGAGGCTGGGCCATTAAAGAAGTCCCATATGGTTGGCAGCGTATACCACACACGTTCCCTCCGGGTTTCTCCGAAGATATGTAGAATTTCCTCAATAAATTCACAGTAGAATAGTGAAATATCGATCTCTATAATTTTCATGAACCGCGCGCGGCCCGGGTTATGGGCTGTCCATTCTTGGGATCGAGACTTGAAGACTGAGTCTTGGAAGCGATTTGACATTAACCGTGGCGCCGACATAAAGTTGGTGTGAGGAGGAATTCGGTCCTCAGTACGGTTTTCTGAATGGCTTGTATAACCCTTTTCAGGGCAATTGGAACGCCATTGTTCCGGTATCGATTTTTTAGTTCCCTTATCGATTTCTGGCTCGCAATTCTCTGACTTCACGGTACAATCAACCTCATCCAGAAAACGTTCTAACATTGGGGGCTCAGCCCTCGAATTAGATGGTCCGCTCTCATCCAAGAGATTTTGCCTATCAATAACAGTTTCCCCCGGATCCATGCATTGTGAACAGCCATCTGCACATGAACTGTCGGCAGAAGGAATAGAGCCATCGGTCTGATATTGTGCAGCAGTTGAATAGTATTTTAGAGGAATCTGTGTGCCGAGAAGTAAACCAATCATATTAAAAAGCCAATATGATGAATTTGCAAATGCATCCGGGTCGAGATCGAAGCAATAATCAGCTCTGTTTCTAAGATGGGATACTCCAGCACGTCCACCCCAACTGCCATACCTATTTGCTTTGAAAGTAGGACTAGCCAATCCCAAATCAATTAGCATTTTTTCTACGTTGGGAGTATCCCAGAATTGAATCCTATCAGGCTTTTCGTCGAGATTAGAGATTGCCCTTGAGACTATGGCCCTTCGCTGGTCAGGGGTAATCATATCCCATTCATCCTGAAAGACAGTTTCGATCCTCAGGAACTGAACTCTGAGGCGGTTTTGATGAAACAAAAGGCTATCGTATGACTTACTCCAGTATTCAATGAGCTGGGGTGTGTTGAAAAAAGTCTCTAGAAGTGGGTCGGGGTAGTAGACATTGGTGCTGTCAGGCAGAATCGGTGATGAATTCATTCGCGTGAGTGGATTATGCGCAGGAAATGGTAATGGCCTTGGGTTGTTGGTGGTGTTTCGATACCGGCCGACTGGAAAGTTATGGTGAGAGCCAGTTGGTTCAAACGATTTTGCCTGAGCTGAGAGATATGGTCTACTTTGTGGATTTCGTGTTCCAGAAAGGCGGTTCGATGAGGGAGTTCCCAACTGGCTACCCAGTTCTGGGTATTCTAAAGTTTCAATGTTAATTGGACCCTTTTGATACCTAGGGCTTGTATCACTTATGCGGCCTGTGACAATCGAGCTCCAAGATTTTCTAGAAGAAAGGGAAGTCGGGTTACCAGGGAGTGGACCTTCAACAGGAGCAGACAACCCAGAGGTCTCAGTTCTTTCATTCGGAAGTGCGGCGGGGGTCTTAGGTGAAACGGACTGAGAAGTGCGCTCAAGATCGGCCCTTGAATCATTATTCCGCCAATTTGCTATATTTGCCCATGTATTTTTGACCAGTGGTACTGGATCTGAAGGTATTGGAGGAACTAGAGCACGGGAAACTTCCATCGGCTCTTCATTTCTTCCATCCGCGCCGGAAACAGCTTTAGCATAGTTTAAACTGACGTGAAGCCTTTTAATTGCTCGGGTATTACACTCGGAAGATAGTCGTTGTTGACTTGCTAACATAGCTGGATTAGTGTTTGAGTTGATGAAGGTAGGTAAGGTAACTGAATGCTGCTGGTCCTCATTATTTTGGTTTAAACCCGAAACAGCTCTGGCATAATTTCGCCGTTCTCTAAATTCCTTTGGGTTTCTAGGCGATGAGTTCCGACTGTTTCTTCTCTTTTTCGCGTCCGGGGCCTGTCTACTAATAGAACTCTCTTCACTGATCGCAACTGTGTCCTGTTCTTTCAAAAGTACCCGTGATTCCCTTTGGTCTGCTTTCTCATCAGTCGGCCTAGTAGAATTGCTTATGTTTTCCTCCCCGATAGCGAGGAGCCCGGTTGAGGGAGCCGAGGGTGGCACTGACTGGGCTGTTGTCTCTTTCAAGCCCACAATCAGTAAACTCACCTTCTCAAGTTCAGAGCTATTCTGATATTGGCTTGGATTCAATTTCTGTTTTTCAGATGCAGAATCGTTTTCGTCTGCCCACTCTTTTACGATAGTTTTAGCGACCTCGTCCTTGTTTCCCTCAGTCAACTTGGACGTAACGGCTGGGCTTTCCTTGGTGTTGCTCAAGTTTGAGACACTTGCGATGCTGTTCCTCAATTTAGGGGATCTCTGATGCGGTGGTGTCTTACGTCCGCTAGGGTTAGGGATTGGAGTGTACTGCGGGATCCGGTTTCGATAATTTCTTTCAGAAACCTCTAACCTATTGGTAGCAGGCCCTCCCCACGGGTGTCTAGGATCAAACGTTCTGCCATGGGCCGGATTTGTTGAGCTTTCCCATTCGAAATCAGTGTTAGACGTAACATTAGGAGGAACTGAGATTGGCCCTGTAGCAAATACACCGGCTGATCTGGAACGAGAACGCGTTTGTGGACGTATATTGGGTATAGATCTTGGTATATGAGTACTTCGCGGGACCCTTGGAGGGTTATAGATATTTCCTATATTTCCTGGGTGGATAAAGCCTGCATCATAACCTATATGACTGGGTGAATGTCCCGAGTAGTAATGTGACGGGGGATAGCAAACCGGCATGCGCGGATGATTCTCTCTATATTGAGTTGATGGGTCCAGCGAATATATTGGTGTTGATCCATGAGCTCCCATCCTTTCCATGTATTTCATGGCATAGGCAGCATCCAATGAGACCCCGGTCATCATCTCTACCCACTTCTTCATTGCTCGAGAGACGGCTGCATCAGACCCTAAATTATTTGTGGTATCTCTCATCTGGTTAAAGTTGGTCTCAATTTTTTCCTTCCACCTAGCCAGCCTTTCCCATTCGTTCGGTGTGATAACATTGAAAAACGCCTGGAAGCGTTCACGGCAAGTTGAGGTATCGCAGCGGTACGGAAGAAAGATATAATTCAGAACGTGGTGGTGGGGATCCATTCGAGTGGCCCTGCGCTGGTGTTGCCCCGCATATCCATGGTTTTTCTGTTGTATGCTATTACTGTCGGTGTCTTTCGCCGTGAAGTTGGTCTCGGGCAAAGTATAGAAACGCGAGTTGCCAGCTGAAGCAGGGAGAGCTGACTTGTCAAATTGCTCGATGATCTCTTTGAGGTGGAGATATCCCTAAGACCAGAAAAAGTATTAGATTCCATTAATTTGATGGAAAGAGTAAAGACTTACAGGATTAATCCTTGGTTTTGTTATCGTACTGGTGCTAGGAGGGAGAGGTGGAGCTGGTGGTGGAGGCGGGTTCGGATTGACTATTGGAATGGCTCTAGAAATTCTGCGACGTGGTCTGGCCTGAGGTAGAGAAATGCCGCCAGAGGGCGGATATATACAGCCAGTATTGCGATGATTTGGCTGCGAAGAGTACATGGCGCAGTCCGACAGAGTTGGGGATTTCTGCTATGGTGAGATGGACCAGTGATGAAATTATTATCTGGGATGGGTAGAAGAGAGAGAGGAAGGTAGAACTTTGTTTCACAAAATAACTGCTAAGATTTGTTTGCATTGATACTGTGCTGTGTTATTCGAGTGTGTAGGTTGGGGGATCAATGTGTGTGTGTGTGTGTGTGGAAAGGGTCCGTGACATTGAAGGTTCGCTTTAGGGCTGTGGCTACAAGTAAGCACAATTTTTTCTCAACAGAAAACAGGGTAATAAATCCGTAACCTAGCTTTGCAAAACAAGTTCTCTCTTTTTATCCTTCGTAGATACATATTATGGCCGCTTTACTTAGGATTGATTATGCTAGCTAGAGTATATTTGTGCTGGGATGAACACTACATGTACTCTTATTTCTGGACTGTAAGTTTTCTCCTAAGTTCGCTCGGGCAAGAGCACCAAGAAAGAAGTAGCTGGAGTAGGATAGACTTGTTTGATTGCATCATAAGATATCACTCGAATATTTGAATGGAAGATACGACTCTATAGCTAGAAGATAAATTAAGAAGGGAAAGACTACGACCAAGCATTATAGTCTCCCAAGGAGATATACGTGTTTTCTACTCCGAATCTGCAGAAGCTATGATTTATTACCACTCTATGACCTTTGTCATCTACGTAGCGATATTAGCGGTCTATGCTTTCATTGGATGAGAGTATTAGCGGGGTGTGGTTTCTTTTATACATGGGCCATAGTGGCAGAGGGTGTGTTCTGTACTATGTGTTTATGTATATATATATCGACGAAACCTTTCTTGTGGGGGGGATATAGGTATGTCAGCTTACCCGAATATTTCTGAATAGGGCAACTGGCTCCCGAAACAACGATTCTTGAGAGAGCGACGCAAATTCTTTAATTAGAAGCGTTACTATACTATCTTGAGTTTATTGCAGCTCTCGCTTTTATGGTGAGCCTTGGAGAAGGTCTTGATCAGGCTGGCTGGGACTATCCGGCAGGGAGCCTATACTAGAACGGCCCTCCTAGCTGACTTTCAACCCTGGCTGTAGTCGAAGAAATCGAAAAAATTATAGCAATTTTTGTTGGCACGTACGTGGCTCTCGAACTATGAATTGCAAAAACAACCCTGGTCCTGGGTACAATATAGATAAGCCAGCCAACCTAATTGCACATGATTTCAGTCTACTTTGATATTAGGTACATGTAGCTACTTACATGTATTTTTGAGCTATAGTACTCTAGTGTGGGATGCATCATAAATAATCACTCGATATAATTGTATTGGCTTGGCAAAAGATATTTTTTGAGTCTTTTAAATTTTAATTTCTTCTCAAATGTTCATACTTGAATGTTTTCATATATATACACTATACTATGCCCTATGATTGTGGGTGACTGGGCATATTCGAGAGAGACACAATAAAGTTCAATGCATAAGCGCTATCCTGCGGGGTGTGGCTTGGCGCACGGTACTGGTGTACTGGACAGTCAACCCCACCACACGCACTCCACAACGTTTTCGCCACCTTGAACCTCAATTCAACGAAGATACCAAACCACCTCTGCACTTTCAACCTTTTCGACAAGATAATAAATCAAAAAATAGCCCAATATGGCGAAAAAGGACAAGAAGAATAAGAAGGCCGTCGACGATGACTGGGAGAACGAGATTGGCGAAGACCTTACACAAAAGGATAAGCCTGCTGATCAAGAGTCACCGGCAGCCCTCAGTGCAGCCCCCGCAGACGATGACTTTGGTGGTGGCCTGATGAATGCTATTCGTAAGAATGCCGAAAAGAAAAAGAAGAAGGGTAAGGGAGCTGCGGCCAAAGTCGAGTCTCCGGTTGAGGACGCGGCCACTCCGACAGGAGTCGACACTCCCCCTCCAGCACCTAAAGCGCCTGTTGAGGTTGCTGAGATTGACGATGACGAATTCGGCCCGGTGAAGAAAGGGAAGAAAGGAAAGGCCGTGCAGCCGAAGGCTGTAGAGAAGGTCGTGGAGAAGGCTGTAGAGGAGCCTAGTATACATGGATCGGAGGCTGGCGACGACGAAGAGACTGGAGGAAGGGTCAAGTCAAAGAAAGAGAAGGAGAAAGAAAAGAAGGAAAGGGAAAAACAGAGGAAGAAGGAACAGGTGGGATGAATCTTGGGCTTTATCGTATCATCTTGCTAATATCATGTCTAGGCCGCTCGAAAGAAGGGTGATGCTTCTGCTGCTCCAGCGGTAAAGGAAACTCCTAAGGCTGCAGAGAAAGCTGCTGCCGTCGCCGCACCTGAGCCTGCCAAGAAGGGGAAAAAGATTTCCCCCGCCCTTGCTGCACTCCAGAGGCAGCAGGAACTCATGAAACAGATGGAGGAGGAGAAGAAGCGTATCGAAGAGGAGGAGAAGAAACGCATCGAGGATGAGGAAAGGCTTGAGAGAGAAGAGCAGGCAAGAATTGCAGAGGCAAAAGCACGAAAAAAGGAGAAGGAGGCTGCAAAAAAGGAGCAGCTCAAAAAAGAGGGTAAATATCTTACTCCCAAAGAAAAAGAGGCAAAGAGACTTGCACAGCTACGGCTGGAGCAAATGAGGGCAGCGGGAATGATCGTTGCAGGATTAGACGAACCATCGGGAGAGACCAAAAAAAGACCGGTAATAGATAAGAAGAAGAAGAAAGGCGGAAAAGCGGATAAGGCAGCCGAAGACGAGGTAAAAGCGGCTGAGTTGAAGAAAAAGGAGGAAGAGCGACTAGCTGCTGAGACTAAGGCTAAGGAAGAGGCGGAAAAGAAGAAAAAAGAAGAAGAGGCAGCAGGTATACTAATCTTTCCAATTGACATTAGACATTACTAATACCCTCAAGCCGCTGTGAAAGCCAAAGAAGATGCCGACGTTCTCGATTCCTGGGAAGAAGCCATCGATGAAGATGGCAACATCAAAGACTCTTGGGATCAAGAAACCGACGAAGAAGAAGATGGGGAGGAGGAGGAGAAGAAGGAAGAGAAACCAGCCAAGCCAACTCCTTCTACTAAGCCTAACGGCTCTAGACCAGTACCCAAAAAGTTTGATGACGAAGAGGAAGACTCAGGGGACGACTCTGAAGATGAAGACCAAAGCATGGCTCAACAACTTATACAGAAGCGGAAAGAGGAAGCTGCAGCCCGTCGTCAGAAGCAACTCGAGGACGCAAAAGCTGCTGCCAGTATCAATGACCTCCGTTCCCCTATTTGTTGTATTCTGGGACACGTCGATACCGGTAAGACGAAGCTCCTGGACAAAATTAGACAAACAAACGTGCAGGAGGGTGAAGCTGGTGGTATCACGCAGCAAATCGGTGCAACATACTTCCCTATGGAGGCAATCAAACAGAAGACGCAAGTTGTGAACCAAGACGGAAAGATGGAGTTTAAGGTTCCTGGTTTGCTGGTTATCGATACACCGGGTCACGAGTCTTTCACAAATTTAAGGAGCAGAGGTAGTTCGTTGTGTAACATTGCGATCTTGGTCATTGATATTATGCACGGGCTGGAACCACAAACTATTGAGTCTATCCAACTGCTCAGGGACAAGAAGACACCTTTTATTGTCGCGTTGAACAAGGTCCGTAGCAATAGAAATCATAAATGTTGGGTCATGGCTAACGTGTGTAGATTGACCGTCTCTACGACTGGAAAGCAGTTCCCAATAACGGTTTCAGGGATTCTCTCTCACGCCAAAAGAAGTCTGTCCAGAATGAGTTCAAAGATCGTTTGGAAAAGACGATTGTCGCGCTTCAGGAACAGGGTCTTAACTCAGCACTCTTCTACGAGAATAAGAATGTTGGGAAATACGTATCTTTGGTTCCAACCTCTGCTCACACCGGAGAAGGTATTCCTGATATGCTTAAACTTTTGGTATCACTCACCCAACAGCGTATGGCCGAGAAACTCATGTACATCAGTGAGCTTGAGTGCACTGTTCTTGAAGTTAAGGTCATTGAAGGACTGGGAACTACTATTGACGTTGTCCTGAGTAACGGATACCTTCGTGAGGGCGACCGTATTGTCTTGTGTGGTCTAAATGGCGCCATTTCAACAACAGTCCGTGCCTTACTGACACCACAACCGTTGAAGGAAATGCGTGTCAAGGGTTCATACGTTCACCATAAGGAGGTCAAGGCCGCGTTGGGTGTTAAGATTGCTGCAAACGACCTTGAGCACGCTATCGCAGGGTCAAGACTACTTGTTGTTGGCCCCGACGATGACGAAGAAGATCTCGAAGAGGAAGTCATGAGTGATCTTGAGCAGCTGTTCAGCAAGGTTTCTACAACCGGTGCTGGTGTGGCAGTCCAGGCCTCAACCCTGGGCGCCCTTGAGGCCTTGTTGGAGTTCCTTCGTGTCTCAAAGATTCCTGTGGCTACGATCTCGATCGGTCCTGTCTATAAACGTGACGTAATGCGTGCAGGAACTATGTTGGAAAAACATAAGGAATTCGCAGTAATGCTTTGTTTCGATGTCAAGATCGACAAGGACGCACAGGCGTATGCGGACGACGTGGGTGTTAAGATCTTCACGGCAGATATCATTTACCATTTGTTTGATGCGTTCACTGCCCACCAGGCCGAGGCGCTCGCCCAGAAGAAGAGAGAGAGTGCTGCGGATGCGGTATTCCCTTGCATTCTGAACCCTGTGGCTGTGTTCAACAAGAAGGATCCGATTGTTGTGGGTGTCGATGTCGTGGAAGGAAGTTTGAAGATTGGTACACCGATTTGTGCGGTTAAAAAGAACCCTATTACCGGAGAGGTGGAAACCATTAATTTGGGGAGAGTGTATGTTACCTTAATCCTAATATTATGTCTCTGAAGACTGGGATGCTAACGATGGTGGATAGAACATCTATTGAGCTTAACCACAAAGCAATCCCTGTCGTCAAGAAGGGTCAGCCTTCTGTGGCCGTTAAGATCGAAGGCCCCAACCAGCCGACGTATGGGCGTCACTTGGAGGAGAAGGACACACTTT